CAGGCAAGCAATTAGCTCCAGTTCTCGGAAGTACTCTTTTAGACCCTGACTTTTCTCCTTTTGCCCAGAGACAAGTAATTGTGTGTCTCAGCGGGGCTGAGCGGCTCTTGGCAGGGAGCGGTGCCCCAGGCGCTCCGGAGGGAGGGAGGCGGCAGGGAGAGGCCAGGGCTTGTTCCATAAAGGAAGGAGGGGGGCAAAACCGGCAGCAGAGGGGGGAGAGGGACCAAGGACCATGGGGATCCTGGCCAGCAGCAGGCCAGAGGGAGGACCCCGGAGAAGCACGACCGGCATGAGGCTCTCCCCAAGAGCCACTACGCAGACCGATAAGCTGGAAGGAACAACGTGCTTTTCTCTCGGCCAGGACTGAACGGGAGCCAGCAACCGCCAAGCAACTCGGTCCCCGAGATACGAGGAGGGGATCGGAGCTCCGGGCACTGCTGCCCAAGAGGGCAATCCGGCGCCGCCGCGGCAAGGCGAGAGGTCCCTACCGCAGCTTGAGGCAGAGGGTCTGGGGCTCACCGCTGTCCTGCGAGAGGCCGTTCACGCTCACCCCGTGCCTGGGAACGACGCGCACAGCGCTCTCTGCGCGTGCACCCGCTCCCACCGCCGGGGGCGGAGGGCTGTCGGACCAACGCTCCATCGCTGCCGCGGCACGGCTTACCTTGCTCCAGAGCCTCCTGCAAACGGGACCCGCTGGCCCCGGGCGTCGCGGGCAGGGGCCTCTGCACTCGGGGCCGGTGAGAGGGAACGGAGATCTTCACGGGCCCGACGTACTCCACGTACGTGCCGGGGAAGTCTCCCTTCTGCTTGGTCCGCTCGTTGACGCCCAGGATCCACCCGATCTGATTGGGGGTCTGCTCGTCACCATCCTTGAAGCCCAAAGCTTGCAGGGCCCCCTTGCTCACCACCAGGATGTCCCCAGGCACCAGGTCAATGTCCTCCTCGCGCTCTTTGTAGTAGGGGTAGAGCGCGCGGTACTGGAACCCATCGGTGCTGCCCATTCTCTCTGCCTCCGGGATCGGCTCTGAACGGCGAGGCAGCGGCGTCGGGCGGGAGGGGAGACACCTCAGAGGCGGTCCTGCCCCATCAGCGCTCTGAACGTCTCTGCGGGAACCGGGGCCCCAGGAGCCTCGTCGGGCTGGCCCTGCGCGCTTAAGTGCAGCCCCTTTTCCTTAACTTGAAGCCACGATTCAGCCAAATTATGGAGCACAGGGAGAAGGAGACGAACATAATCCAGCAGTTGCGAGCGGGCATGCAGCAAAGAAACAGGAGACCAGGGTTCAGTTCACCAAAAAAAGGCTTCTTGGAGTCCAGAGGGCAAAAGCACAGAGCGCTTCCAGCCAAGGACGGCGTGGCATGCTATTCCTCCCTTCCCAGTGCCTGCAAAGAGAAGGCCCATTACTGCACAGCCCGGCGCTGCTCACCGCACCCTCCCGGGACGCCGGCGTCCAACCCGGGGCTTCGTCTAAGCAGCTGCGAGAGGCAGGACTTGTTTCTCTCCTAACCACCCCAGCCAGCAAACACAGCTAACGCCGAGCCCTGGATCCAAGCGCTCTCCACCAGAACATGCTATTACCCATTTAGGCTCCAAAAGCGAGAGAGGAGCCAGCGGCCGCTTGCAG